TCTTATGGGGAATGATGAAAAGTGCTCTATATAAAGAACAACTCTAACTCAATAATTTAAAATTTTTTACAATAAACGATTATGTTAACCTAGCTTACGGATAAAATTAGCATGTCAGACTTTATCAAAAATTTAGCAAGGAGTGACCCAAAAAATTTAGATAAAAATAAATAAAATTGAATATATTGAGTTGAATTTGTAAGTATAATAATAGGCAAATTAGTCGTGGAATATTTACTTCATTATTATTTAACATCAAGGTATTTAGCGAGTGATTGCTTTGTTGTAAAAACAGCATTTATAACAATACATGCGTCAGATAGTAGTGAAAAAAAGATTACTAAAGACAACTAAGGCATAAAACGACAATTAAAGCATATTTAGGAATTCGAATGTTTCAGGAAAAAATTTTTTTTTAACTTTTTTAGCGATAGAGAGCAAAAATGCTCAATAATTAAAAAAGGAAATATAGAAACTTGAAATTTCAATAATAAGTCAGTAAAAATAACAGAAATCAAAATATTTAACGCTGAAATAAAATTAATAATGAAAACTACTTGTTAACTTATTTGTTTGATATGTAGCAAGTAAATGTTATGCATGCTTACTTAGTTGTTTGATATGTAAACAAGTATTTGTTATACATGCAACCTAGTCTTCGCCACTGAAAATTGTCGAAATCGTTAAAAAAACTCTGATCATCTCTTTATAACTGACAAAAATTTGACGATCGACGAGCTAAAAAAATAAAGGTACAGGATCTATTGCAAAAAAAACTTTGCCCAAAAATCCTTGATGCTCGATGACAAATTTTAGATAAGCTTTGGATAATCACTCAAAAACATATTATTTATAATTTTTTATTTCTCAGACTGTTATTAGGATGTAGAAATATATTATAAACAAAGAATTAGTGGATGAATTTGAAAGGCGTGGGGTGTGGTAGCGAACACTGGAAGCAAAATAACCCCTAGCTAGTAATCGCCACGAAAAAAAATTCAAAAAAATTGAATTTTTTTTTCTTTATTGTAAAATATGAACATTTACACACTTCTCAGTATGGGTATGGTTTAATTTTATTTTAAAATAACCATGTAAGCAATAAGCAATAAGCAGTTAAATATTTTCCAGTCATTGCAAAACTTACTTTCTAGTAGTCGCTACTTTTGATAATTTATAATTTTAACTGTTTATAAATCTTTTTGTCTTTTTCTGAACATATTTGAATAATTCTGTTTTAATCTAAATACTTTTTCTAGTTATATCATTAAATATTAAGTTTTCAGCTTAAAGAAACAATCATTAGTTTTTTTACCCAGGAGTATATTTTTCTACCTTTTTTTTGTATGCTGTGAATTTATTAAGGTAAATACTAGAATGTTCCATGACATCAAGTGATTTAGGGTAAATGGTTTTTAATCTATAATTATTGTTTATATGATTATACGGTTTAATGTGTAATTTTCAATGTTAATACAATTTATAATGATAAGTTTTGAGGATTGTAATTTAGTTGATACCGGGTCAAACGGTTTTACTATACAAATAATTAATAGAATTTGTAACGAGATTTGTATGCTGTAAATCTATTAAGGTTTTTATTTATTATATATTATCAAACTGATTTTGTAAAGAGATAGGCTCTTATAAAGTACTTAAACAGGAACAAAAAAGTTAATAAATCTTCTCGAATGGTAACCCGCAGATCATATACAGATGAAGACATAAAAACAGTACTTACTGATGTTCAGAGATATTTACATGCACAATTTCACTTATATATAACAATATATATATTTTTAAATTTCATTGCTTTAATTTTATTCCTTTTTTTAGAGGTCTTAGAACAAAACTGGAGGCTGTAAAGCATTATGGTATACCAAGAACCACCTTAGGGGACAAACTCAGTGGAAAGACTCCTATCACCAAAAAGATGGGGCCAGCAACATTTCTAACTGAGGCAGAGAAAAACGTTCTCGTGAACTATATTAAAAGCACTTAACGAAGAGCACATCCTGTATGCAAAGACATTGATCTATCCTTTGTTTCCAGTCTTTTAATGGAGGAGAGGCTTCTTGGAGAAATAAATAGGGTTAGACCACATAAATTTGGCATAGCTGGCACGCTAAAACCTGGTGATTGGTGGTTAGTAAACATAATAATTACTATATTTATATAATATATAATAGGTTACTATACTGATAGTTGTTTATATAGTATTTTAAGTTAATCCTATAGTGACAAGTATATGACAATAATATACGCTATACCCATCAAATATTTGGTCTGAAAAAGACAACTTTAATGCGTCTCTTAAACGTATTAGACGTTTTTCATAAATTCGAAAGACGTCTTTTTTAGACCAAATGTTTGCTGGGTAGTATCTTAATTGTTACAATAAATAAATAAGTTATTACCTTTAAAAGTAAATAAATACAAGTTGATAGTTATATAGGCCTAAAATATAATTTGTATAACCTAGTTTTAAAAGAAGTCTAGAATATTAACTTTATCATTATTTTTTTGAAGGTATAAGCTTTTTATGGCAAGGCATCCCAACATAGTCACTCGGATGACAGAGTCTTTAGGTACAAATTGGCAAAGCATTTCACAACAGTGCATCAAACAGTGGTTTTTTGATATTTGCAGCTATCTGTCATAAAATGATTGCTTAGATATTTTATACGAGCCTGACCGTAACTTTAAGATCAATGAGTGAGGCTTCGTGTTTTTTCCAATAAGACCCAAAGTCTTGGCTAAAAAAGGCTCAAAAAACGTCCCTTACGGCACCTCCTCAAAATAAAAGGAAAGAATTACTGTTTTAGGTAAACAAAATGTATATAATGTTACAACCCTCGCTAACGAGTCATTGTAACATTCAAATATATATTTTTCAGTACTGAAACTAAATTCTATAACGCTTTTTTTACTTATAAGCCTATAAACCTTTTCATAAAATTGTGAAATACTTCCTCATAATTTGTTTTTGGTTCATTAGAACGCCTAGTTTGGCATGATAATATTCCGTTGCATTTTTTTCCACATTTCTTTATAGCTAATGTTAGTGCAGATAAATCAATGCCACCACTGATTATAATATATCCTAATGTCGTATTCCAATGAACGTTTATGCGTCTTTACCTTCTACACTTGCAACCATTGGAAAATCTGAAAGCAGTTATATTAACCACGAGGTGTTATACGAGTACCTTTGCAAACCATTTGACCAATGGTTAACATCCAAAATTATTAAAAAACCAGTAACTGTGTGGTCATATAAACATGAATTTTGCATTCAATTTCATTTTGTCAAGAAGCTAGCTGATCTCAACATCATATTAATTCTGATCCCACTTAACTGCACCCACATCATGCAGGATCTTAATGTAGGATTATTTGGACCTATGCAGGCAGCATGGTTAAAGGTTGCAGAGAGTAATTAAATAAAATGTAACTCCTATGTTACAAAAGAAACGTTTGCTAGTCTTTTTCTTCCGATGTATTCAAGATCAATGACTGAGGTGAAGATTAAAAGTGCTTTTAAGAAATGTGGATTACCGCCATTTAAACCTGTTGCTATTGATTACACAAAGTTAACCTTACAAGATGAAAATGCTGGAGAAAAGCGTCTTTTTGAGGGTGTCAATCAAGGTGGCTTTGTTGAAGTTTCAACCCATGTAGAAACAATATTATATTTGAATGTACTCAGATTAAGCCAAGTAAGAAACTTCTTTAAATAGGTTTCACTAAAGCACAGGCAGCTAGGTTATACATAAACCTGTAAGTGATAAATAATATTTGTAAACACAATATAGGATTGGGACAAATAATATACTTAGTTAAATTTTAAACAACCTTTTACAATTATATGTTCTTTAATTGGTGTAACATTTTGTAACATATAAAACCTCTCTTAAAACTATTATTTAAAAATTTATACAGAATTTTAAAAAAATGTGATTACCTTATATTGGATTGTCCCAGATTTGACGTGTTTAAAACAAGAAAACGAAGAACCTGGTTTGATTTTGCGTTTAAACGAAACAGGCGATTGGAGACACAAACAAGCACATCTTCAATCCAAGTTCTCCCAAGAACCAACCCTCTACTAGTGGAATTAATTATCATTATTCTTCTTCTGATAATTCAACAACAAAAATGATATCTTCTTTGTCTGTGGTAGCTTTCAAACAAAAAAGGTCCAGTATTAGTCCTGTAATGATTAACCATAGGTGGTTTCTTTTGCCTAAAAAAGCTCTAGGCTAGTCATCAGCATTTTTTAATTTTATTTTAATATTGATCTTATGTTATTTTGAACTTAGTGATATGTATGGTCATAAAAATTTATTTTCTTTATTGTACAATTATAAACTGTTCTTAGTTAAAATTCGCGTTGTTACGCAAGAAATTTAATCAGCATCTATTGTGACATCAGATCAAGTTGTATTTATTCTGGTGGAAGTAAAATAGGAAAAGAAAGACCAAGAGCGAGCAAATGTTAAAAGAATGAACAAATGCTTGGCAACTGAGTTGGTAAAGAAGTCAAAACCCCCAGTAAAAAAAAAGTTGTGTATACTAAGCCAAACCAAACAAAAGAAGAAAGCTTAAAACAGCATCTTATTCAGGTAAGAACAATTTCAAAGTGACTATACTTTATGGTTCAGCTGTTGTTTTATTAAATTAACAAAAAATAGATAAAAATATATTCGCATGTTATTTATTTGTGTTATTTTCTCTCTTTTTTCAAACCTCAAAGTGATTATTTAAATTCTAATTCAAGTATCCAAAACAAAACTTTTTAATTTTATTTCAAATCTAATTTTATTTCAGGCCCACACCCTGAAATTAATAAAAGGGACAGCGAGGTGCCTCTATCTGTTATTGGTTACATTAGGTAAATTAAAATGCAAAATTCATTTACTTATATATAAAAAATATAATAGTATATTTAAGATAGACAAAATTATAAAACTTTTAAAATAATACTAATATAAACTTACCCATTTGACAGTAATTATAATGTGATGGAAAACATTCAGCAAAATATTTTATTTCAAAAGTTCTTTCTTTTTTATTTGCTTCATGACGAATTTGTTTTGCAACAATTTTTCCACCTTTTGACAAACGTTTTGGAAAAATTATGACTATTGTTTTATTGCTAGCATTTTTACATTTATTTTTGCAGTTCTTGTCCTCTTTTACTTCTTTTTCTATTCTACTTTGAACATATTCACAAGAGGCAGGCAAGGGTATTATCTTATGCGAACCAAGATAATGCTGCTGATACATAACATCGTAAAAAGTACTACCAGCCAAAATGACATCTGGGTTATATCTAACAGCATTATACAGCTCATTTTGTAAGTCAACCATATCTTCGTCTAAAGTTCTTATGTGACCATCAAATCGATAGTTGCTATTTATAACAATTCTTTTATTAAAAGGGGCAAATATTAGACAATGCCACGAGTCAAATCCACAGACAATAATATCAGCTTCAATTAAATCAGGGTCATTTCTGTAGACATTCCAAAAGATTTCTTGTGTTAACTTTAAATGGCGCTTGGAATAACCGTGAGCTAGATAGTTATGCAATCTATTAAATCTTTTATCTCTATTTTTCCAACTGATATACTTGAAACCTGCTTTTGGTAAAATTTCTTTATTGTCTGCTAGAGGTCCTTGGTGAACTCCGATACCTAAAACAACAATCGTTTTTTCATACTCTTGTTTATCTTTTACTTTCAACGGGCTGAATAAACAAAGCGCATTTTGCGGTGAGGAAGCTATAGTGACATTTTTATTGTCAAAAATATCTCTCCAGCATGTTTTTGTTGGAATAAAAAAATTTTTTTTAGTTTTGTATTTTATGATTATTTTATCATTATGAGAATAAATGTTAACTAAAAAAGATTGAATCGTTCTTAAATAGTTTTTCTCAAGTTGAATGTAAATGATAACTATAACAAAATTAATTAACACGAAAAAAAATAAATATTTTTTTAACATTCCGCGTTTCTCGTCAAGTCTTTCTTCAATGTTATAAATTATTTCGGCTTAAATATTAATTCTCATTGCGTCATCAAAGCTTGAAGTACCGCACTCATTCAAAACTTGAATTTCTATTAAAACTCAATTGAATTTCTATTAAAACAATAATTTTTAATTTATTGCATAAAGAGCAATACATATGTACTGTAAAATACATATATGTATATATATAAATATATATATATATATATATACATATATACATATATATATATATATATATATATATATATATATATATATATATATATATATATATATATATATATATATATATATATATATGTATATACTTATTAGTTTTTTAGATTGCACAAATGTTTTTATTAGTTAAGGATTATTCTATATTTTGTTAAAAAATATTTCATATATATATATATATATATATATATATATATATATATATATATATATATACATATATATATATATATATATATATATATATATATATATATATATATATATATATATATATATATATATATATATATATATATATATATATATATATATATATATATATATATATATATATATATATATATATATATATATATATATATATATATATATATGTAAGCACCCTCGTTGCAGGGTAATTTTTTTTTTTTTGCGCATTCTATCACGAAATTAAAAGAATATAAAACATCATTGATTTTTTTATTGGAGTCATCCAACGTTTTTTCATTTTCTTCAACAGGAGTAATTTCACTTTCTACTTTATGATTGTTTTCAAGGTTAAATGGATGATTTGCTTCGCTTGTTCCACTTGCCCACTCCATAATTTCAGTATCTGCTAAATTAAAATAATTAAATATTGAATTATATAATCTTGCCAAGGGAATATTATTTTCTTCTGAAAAGTGATCGGAAGAAATGTTATATTGAATTTCATCACTTGACGAAAAAAGATGTTTAAATGAATTTTGTATAACTGACACGGGAATTTCATATTATGCCTGCACCACTAAATAAATAATATCTTTCAAATATATATTTTTCAGTGCTGAAACTATTCCATCTTCTGCACCTAAGGCTGCAAGACATCCTAGTAGATGTTTGCAATAGCATTGTTTTAGTGATTTTATCACATTTTGATCTAGTGGTTGCAATAATGGTGTGTTATTATTATGAGTTAATAAGGGGAAAAAAGATAATTTTAAAATTCGGGTTATCAGTAAAATTATTCTCAGACCCATGGCAAGTTGCACTCTATACTAAGAGGAGAGATTTTACGAGAAGGTTTTTAGTTTCCAAGTGTCAAGTTACTAAAGGTATGAATATATCATTATACCAGTCGTTAAAAAATTTAATAGGTTTGCCAAACATTTTTGGATGATTTGTAATATACTGGGAAATTCGAATTTTTTGAATCGACGAGGAGATTATGATTTTCCTCTCATCATCAAATCTAATGCATACCTGTAGTGTTTATAACATGCAGTATTAAAGTAAATAAATAAATACTCAGAGATGCAATCTTATTGGTTCTTTTTTGTTAGGAAAAAGTTTAAAATCTTTTTTTATTAAATCTTTCTAATAAAGACATAAAATTTGAAAAAAATTAATTTAAAATATAATAAAAACAACACATCATTTTAATATAAAGAATGATAACACTAAGTTGGTGTTGTTGGCAACATAAAGAATGACATATCTTGCCCCAACTTAAAAATAAAATTTACTCTGATACTTGCTTTATGTCAAATAATGTTTTATAAGGATACATGGCTACAAAAATAGTTTTTTATTAATAAAGAAAAAAACTGACTTTTTTACTATGATTTTTATTTTTTATATATCAAATGTAAAATTATTATTATTATTTTTTTATTATATATATTTTGACTTTGTTTAAAAGTTGAAACAATTTATTTAAGATCACAAGTATCAAGCTTATCAGTGAGTTTTTTTTTATATCTATAACCAACTTTGTATAAATATACATTACAAGCTATACACATACAAGCCATTTAGGTGGTCCTGTACCATAGTGCTTTGCATATAATTTTTCAGGCGCAAAAGCAAAGAAAATATGCACACATTAATTTGAAGTTAATGAAAAGGTAGCAATTAATTTTTTAAATTTAACCAAAAAGCTACCATAAATCTAGCTCATTAACTAGCACAAAGTTGTAGAAAAGCTATTCACTTTATCCACCTGAATTTTTAATATGCTCCACTAACTTCAATTGTCTGGTAAGTAAAAGTTTAAAAGGTATTATACCTCTTTCATGTTTGCCAAAAGATACTTGACATAGTGCACTTTGCACGAGGCAAAAATAGCTAAATTAAGTTTATGACTGTTACAATGAGCATATGTAGCTTTTTCATTCAGATTAAAAATACAAGAGGGCAAACTTTTAGTGTGACCATCGATTGCTCTAACCCCATCAGATCAATTTCTTCTGGAATTTATGGTATCTAAAGAAAAACCTGAAATATTTTTTAACAAAATATAGAATAATCCTTAACTAATAAAAACATTTGTGCAATCTAAAAAACTAATAAGTTCTTCTCTTATAAAACTTTGAATCAACAAACAATTTAACTAATAATAGTTGTTCTTTACATTAACTGTTTTTTAACAAAAAAAATAAAATGCTTGGTTTTTAATTTTTTAAATATTGTATCAGTAATAAATTCTCTAAAGAATTAAACATCATGTCATCATGTCAGATGATGACATGACGACATTACATCATGTCATCACCTGATGATGACATGATGTGATATCTTAGATATGTAAGAAGTATTTTTTTATAATATCTAAGTTAAACTTGAAGAATATTATCATCAACTTTAACACAGAAATGTTGTAAACACTTTTTTTAAAAAAACTAAATACTTATCAAGAGTTAACAAGATTCATATCTTTACAAGAAATTATATTTTTCTGTAAAAAAATTTTCAAAGAGATTAATTTGTATTATTCACTTTGTAGTATAATGTTTTTAACTTCATAGTTAAGTAACATTTTAATCTAACATTTTAAACTTGAAACATTAAGTGAAATTTTAAATATCATCAATAAACCTTATATATTTCAGGATGTACGTGTTAAAGGACGTCCAACAGTGTTTTTTATATAAACAAAATCAAATCTCTAACTCTTACTTCTGATCTTTCTTTTAAACCGTATATCAAATCCATTGCAAAATTAGCATCTGCTAAGGTTGCATCTCTTTATCGAGCTCGACACTTTCTTACTCCAGATTCTATTCTCTATCTCTATAAATCTCAAATCCGTCCCTGTATGGAATACTGTTGCCACATCTGGGGCGGATCTTCTAATGATGCTCTTTCTCTTTTAGACAAGGTGCAAAAACGAATTGTAAACATAGTTGGACCTGCTCTGGCAGCCAATCTCCAACCTTTGTCACATTGTCGTAATGTTGCTTCTCTTTCTCTTTTCTACAAATACTATAATGGGCACTGCTCTAAAGAGCTAGCGTCCCTTGTGCCATCTACTAAAATTCATTCTCGTGTTACTCGCCATTCAATTAAGTCTCATCCTTTTTCTGTGACTGTTCCTAAGTGCTTCAAAAACTCTTATTCTTCTAGTTTTTTTCCTCGAACATCAGTTCTTTGGAATTCGCTTCCTTCATCTTGCTTTCCTGATTCATATAATTTGCAATCTTTTAAGTCATCAGTCAATCGTTATCTTGCTCTACAGATTTAGTCTTTTCTCTTCCAGTAACTTCCAACTCTTATAGTGGTTGCTTGCAGCCTTGTTGGAAGTAAAGATGTTAAAAAAAAAAAAAAAAAAAAAAAAAATATATATATATTTGAAAATTTACTATTGAAAATCAAACTTAATTCAAAGATTAATCATAGAAAGAAATAATGTTAGGGTTGTGCATTGGAGTATTTTATCATGGATTAATTATTAAAAATTATTTCTCCTCCTGATTTTGACTAAGATTTTACTTAGGGTGTACTACAGGGTACTTAGGGTGTACTTTATTGGGGACGTCCAAAAATTGTTATTAGTAAAGAAATAAATAACTTGCTTTTTTAACAAATCAAATAAAAATTTCAAAACTTCTAATCTAATTTACTTGACAGTTAAGTAAAAAAGTCTTTATTCTATTTAATAGTTTATTTATTATTCTATCATCAATCCATCTTACACTGAGTGATTTACTACGGGTAAAAACCGTTACTACGGGTAACGGGAGGGGGGGGGGGTAATAATTCAGAAACTTATTAAAGTATTTATAAAGTTTTATCAAATAAATAAATTTAACTAAAAACAACTATAAACTACTAGTTATATATTATATATAACTAATAGTTTTCAGTTGTATACTTTTTATCACTTTACTTAATACCATTATCATAAAATCTTTTATTTAATGATTAAATAGGAGGACAATGATAATTTAGACGAAAATTTAGTGATTTACTTAAGGAGAGAATTTAAACAGATATTTTAAAACTATTTTTACATAAGTATATAACTAATTTAGCCAGATTTAAATAGAAATTATACAAATATCAACTAATTTAACCAGATAGTTTAAATAGAAATTTTACAAATATCAACTAATTATTGATTATTTTTTAGTGGTAAAATTTATAGTATTAAATACCTTTGATCATACCGTCTTACACTGAACGATTTACAAAGGGTAGGTAATAGGTAAGGGGAGCATAATTGTTACCTTTTCCTTCATTGCTTTTCTTCCAGCAGCGGATTTTTCAAAAAGTTTGTAACATTAGTTTTATTGGGCAAGCTTTTGTAGACGAGACCAGTTTTGTCGCAATTATAAATTTGTTTAGATAAAAAGCCATTTTCAGCCATATAATTTTAAAATTCATTTTTAATTGAATTAGCTAGCTCTACATAATTTTAAAATTCATTTTTATAATTTTAAAATTTATTTTTAATTGAATTAGCTAGCTCTACATTGCAAAACTCTTTCCACAAACAGACAAAATCTGTAAACCGTGGCATTTTTTAAATTTCGTTAACTCGTCACTCAATAAAATTCATCACGTGTTAAAAATGTTTCAGGTCCATTATTTAATCTATTTACTTAGAATGTTTTTAATTTTATCATTTCATTTGGAACTAAATCA